TGATAGCGTGCATTTTGGATTCAAGTTCTATTAAGATACAGCCTGTTGTGCCTTAAAATGGATTCTACTGTACAGCACAGTGGAGTCGCCATGGTAACGGCTTCACAGTACTCCACAAGGGGGCTTCCTCTGGTAAGGGGGATTTGATTTGACACTATAGATATAATTCATTCCTTTACCTTTCTAATGCAGGACTGGGATAAATTGAAAGGTAATGAAAGGATTAGAGCATACACAGAGTGTACCTAACTCAACTTTTGATCCCCTACCGATAGCGAACCAGTAGCACCAGGATTTGAATCCCACTACTGGTGTAGACTATAAAAAGGAAGTTTTAGTTAGTGTGCGCCTGCTTTTCTCTCTGCCTGCTCTGTTTAAGGTGGGAGATAAAAAAGTCAAACAGTTTTGCTTTCTGATCAGAATAATAAAGCTGATTATCAGTTGCCTCGTGCTCAGAGTTTCATTGGATTTATCAGATTCTGAGCTGCACTCAAAAATCTTATAAATAAATACCCCTGCAACGCCAGGTTATTAGGTAGTAGTTTTTTTTTAAAGAAAAAACAAAGTAAACGCCCATCCTGTTTGATTGTGCAAAGTGACGCAAATTAAAGCAAAAAAAAAATGTCACATACAGAAAATAAATTTGAACTGTCTATTAGAATCATTTAGGAAACAGATCTTCAGGTTAGCAGCGGATAAAACTACATGGAGGATTTTGTGTGTGTGTGTGTGTGTGAAAACATTAAGGCGTTGACTGTAACTACTGGAAGATTTGGCGCAGACAAAATAAAGCATTCCTTCACAGAAGGCATTCCATTAATCTGTAGAATACGAGTAAGTCAGTGCTGGGTTCCTCCCGGTTCGGCCCGGTTCTCCTGAGCCGGTAGCGGTGACGATATGATGTCACTGAATTGGCTTTTAAAGGCATTTTTTTTTCTACAACCTCTTCGGCCAAAGAGGTTGTAGAAAAAATGCTTTTAAAAACTTCTGACGATCCCAGCTGAGCCACGCGATCATCAGAGGCTTTTTTTTTATTATTTTTAAAAGCATTTTTTCGGCCGAAGAGGTTATAGAAAAAATGCTTTTAAAAGTAAAAAAAAAAAAAAAAGGCTCTGATGATCGTGCGGCTCAGCTGGGCATGGGGGGGGGCCAGGGATTTTTGCTACCGGTTCTCCGAACCACCCGCCTCCATCGCTACCGGATCGGGCGATCCGGTCCGAACCGGGAGCATTTCACCCCTGGTTTTATGTGTTAGAATCTACGCCTAACGTCTGAATAGAGCTCACTACGCAGTTTCTACGGAGAAATAGATTTATTCTCACTTGCTGACTGATTTAACTACCTTTCTCTCTCTCCTCCCCCTTCACCTTGTCTGAGGCAGGCCAGAGGCAGACTGAGATTACCAAAAAAAAAAACAAAAACCTGCTGTAATTCCTTCCGACCAACAGCCTTGCAGAGAAAGGGAAGCTGACCTCAACTTTTAGTCGAACTTCTGAAAGTTAAACATTTTCACTTCTCTTTTGTCGCTGGGACAAAAATAGCATTGACATTTTTCTCAGCGCTGAGAAACGTTCTGTTCGTCAAAAATGCTCTCTTCAGCCTGAAGAAATTATTATTGTTGTTGTTGCTGTTGAAGATTTAAACTTCAGTTCGATTCACAGTCTGTGACTGGTAAAAACTTAATAGGTCAAGTCGTAATCAAGGACCTAAGAACTACTTAAGGTCTATTGTTATTATCTCTTTTATTCATTAAACATGAAACTCAAGTCAACTGAACATTTAAAAAATGTATCACAAATATCATTGACTGACACTGAGGGTTGATACGGGTTGCTGCCAACATCCGAGGTATTAACCAAATTATTATTATTGTTGTTGTTATTGTTGTTTTGCTGTGATTGTTATTATTGTTGTTGTTGTTGTTGTTATATTTAATCTTGTTGTTTCTATTCTGTGAGCTGCCCCGAGTCCTATGGGAGAAGGGCGGCATATAAATTTGATAGAATGAATGAATGAATGAATGAATGAATGAATGAATGAATGAATGAATAAATAAATAATCTTGAATTCGATTCACAGTCTGGGACTGGCAAAAGCTTAACAGTTCAAGCCCTATCCAAGGACCTAAGAACTACTAAGGTCTATTATTATTATTGTTGTTGTTGTTGTTATCATTATTATCATTATTATTATTGGTTAATCTTTAGTGAGATTCACAGCCTTTGAGGCTGGTTAATAGCTCAGCAGCTCGAGTCCTAACCAAGGACCTAGGAACTGTTAAGGTATCGTCGGAGGATGTAAGCTGTTCCGAGTAAGGTGGTTTTTTGTAAAGGCAAAATGTTCAAGTCCGGCAAATTTAGAATTTCTAAATAGCGGGGTAGCCCTTTGGGTATTGCTCCAAGGGCTCCAATTACAATCGGGACAACACACGATTTCTTTTCCACAGTCGCTCAACTTCAATTTGCAAGTCCCGGTACTTTGTGATTTTTTCTTGCTGCTTATCTTCAATCCATGCATCTTATTATTATTATTATTTACTTTATTCATTAAACATGAAACTCAGTCAACTGAACATTCAAAAATGCATCACAAATACCATTGACTGGTGCTAATGGTTGATACGGGTTGCTGCCAGCGTCCTAGGTATCAACCAAGTACCTTCTTAAGATGTACGATGTTCCAAGTAGCGCAGTTTTTTGCAGTTCTGCTGGTGTTATTGCAGGAAGCTGCAATTTGCTGATGTATCTTATAAAATTCTTGGACATGGTACCAAGTGCCCCGATGACAATGGGTATCACTGTTACATGTTTCATCCATAGCCGTGTAGTTTCGATGGCCAGGTTGCGATATTTCATTATTTTTTCCAGTTCTTTTTCTTCGAGATTGGCATCTCCTGGTACCGCGATGTCAATAAATTGTACGTTTCAGTTTTTGACAACTGTGATATCTGACGTGTTGTGTTCCAAATGACGATCCGTCCGTATTCGAAAGTCCCACAAGATCTTCACCTTCTCATTTTCGATAACTTTTTCCACTTTATGTTCCCATGACTTTTTGGATACAGGTAAGTCGTATTTTTTACATAATGATCGGTGGATTAATTTAGCAACTCGGTCGTGTCTAACTTTGTAATCAGTTTGTGTGATTTTGCTACATTCACATATTAAATGTGAAACAGTTTCGACTTTATTGTTGCAAAGTCGGCAGTTTGGATTGTCGGTGGATTTTTGTATCTTTGCTTTCATGGCCTTAAGTTTGTAGTGCTTGTTCTTGAGCAGCGAGTATTAAACCTTCAGTTTCTTTCTTGATGGTTCCCATCTTAAGCCATGCCCATGTCAAGTTGTCATCACATTTCCCTTCAATGTTTTTCAAGTGCTGTCCATGCAAATCTTTGGTTTTCCATCTATTTAATCTGTCATCCAGCTGTTTTTCCTTATATTCTGCCTTGGTTTCTGTTGTTTTTATAATGTTCTCTGTTTTCACAGCCTGCCGCAATTTTTCTGGACTTTGGTTCACATAATCATTCAAATTTCATTTTTCTTCTTCTACAGTTTGATGGATTTGCAATAGTCCTCTGCCCCCTATTTTTCTTGGCAGGTACAACCTGTCGATGTCACTTCGTGGATGTAAAGCGAGGTACGTAATCAAAAGTTTGCGTGTTTTCCGGGCCACGTTTTCCTATTATTATTATTATTATTATTATTATTATTATTATTATTATTATTGTTGTTGTTATTATTATTATTATTATTATTATTATTATTATTATTGATTTAATCTTCAATTTGATTCACAATCCCCTTTTGAGACCTTCTGATAAGCAAAATCTATGGGGAAGCCTGTTTAACAACCTTAGGGATTCACTTAACAACTGGGCCAAGCAAGGTGGTAAAATGAGCTAAAACTCACTTTTTATTTATTGGATTTATATTCCGCCCTATTCCCGAAGGACTCAGGGCGGTGAACAGCCACAGAATAAAACACATAAATACAAAAATTTAAAATAGAATAGAAACGAATTAAATAATTTGGCTGAGACAAATTTAAAATACCCAATAATTTAAAAACAAATTAAAATTTACATTTAAAAGGGGAAAAGATTTATAACGGTCTTGCTTAGCGGTGGAAATTTTGAGCCCCATTGTATTCGTAAGTCGAGGGCTACCCGTGCAAGATAATATTTTATATTTCTGCGATAACAGGCTGTGCTGGAGTCTGTGTAATACACACTGCACACAATATACTTACTGATGGACGCTGAGAACTTCCCAGTCCTTTCCGACTCCTTGTGGAGCTGTTAAATGATGCAGAGTTTCTGGGCATATTTTAATAAGTTTGCAAAGAAGTGTCCAGCCCACCTAAAAAGCAGAAAATAACATTTGATTTTTAAAGATACAGTACACCATTCTCCTTTACGTCCCACTTAAAAGATTTCCCAGACATTAAATTTCTAATAAAACCACCTCTCTGCTTGTAATGCAAGAATAAAGTAAAAAAACAGTGCTAAAGTACAGGGAGTCCTCGACCTATGACCACAGCTGAGCCCGAAATTTCTGTCGCTAAACGAGACATCTGTGAAGTGAGTTTCGTCCCGTTTTATGCCCTTTCTTGCCGTGCTTGTTAAGTGAATCACTGTAATTATTAAATGAGTAACACGGTTGTGTAAGTGAATCCTGCTTCCTCATTGTCTTTGTTCGTCAGAAGGTCGCAAAAAGGGGATCAAGTGACCCCTGGGACACTGCGACCATCATAAATATGAGTCGGTTGTCAAATCTCTGAATTTTGATCACATGGTCACGGGGATGCTGCAACGGTCACAAGTGAGAAGCAAGTGGTCCTTAAGTCACTTTTTTCAGGGCCGTTGTAACTTTGGACGGTCGCTAGTCCAGGACTACCTCTACATCACACCAGTGGTGAGTTTCAACCGGTGTTACCACTGGTTCGCTTCATGCACGCGCTTTGCGCACGCACACCAAACTTGCGCTCCACACAAGTGCAGTGTATAACGGAACAGCTGAGAAGCGGCAATCTGCTCTGTAGCGCCTTTCAGCTGGGCTAAAAATGACCGAATATATGGTATGTATAACGCGGGGGCGGGGGGGGGGGCCAAGCTAACCGTTAGAGAGAACCAGTTCGCTCTCAGCTCACCATCGCCGCTACCGGCTCGCCCGAACCGGGCCGAACCGGTAGAAACCCACCACTACATTCACATTGATTCAAACTGCCTAGTTTCATCTAATGTCACAGAAGGCATCAAACCCCAAGCAATAATGATAAATGGGGAACAGAGTTTTATTTCTGACTGAAATATTGTGGCTTTGTGGTTGACAGCGGAGTGATTTTTTTTTTTTACTGCGGCAAAAAACAACAAGAGTAACACCCACAGACTTCTGGAGAGAACAAAATGGAGGCTGGATGCCAATCCCTTCATTTCTGTCTTGAAATCTGTTTGTTTTTCTGCGTCTCTCACTACATTTTTTTTAGCGTCTATGTTTCAGCGGCTCCCTCAATTAAAAACACTGCTCCAGGCGTGTTATTCCGTGTTTGTTGTGCCATATAGCCTGCAAACAAATTCTTGAAATACAAACTATTTAAATAAGCCGATGGAGTGGAAGTGAGCTTTGCTTTCTGTTAACGTCCTGTTCGATTGTGGTTTATTTTTATTTAAGAGACATTTATAGTGAAGCTTTTCACCTACCACCTAGTCCCGTGACAGCGAACCTATGGCACGCGTGCCACAGGTGGCACATGGAGCCATATCTGTGAGCACGCATGCGTTTCCCTAGCTGAGCTCCAGCGCGCATGTGCGCACCAGCCACCTGATTTTCGGGCCTTCCGGTCCCACAGGAAGTTGAGAAACACGCCATTTCCAGGCTCCGGAGGGCCTCCGGGTGGATGGGGAAGGCCGTTTTTGCCCTCCCCAGGCTCCAAGAAGGCCTCTGGAGCCTGGGGAGGGTGAAAAACGGGCCTACCAGGCCCACCGTGCCTTCGCATGCCAAAAGCAGAAGGAGCGCAGGAGGGTCACACACGCATGCACAGGGGGGGGGCCAGGGAGCATTGAATTATGGGTGTGGGCACACACGTGCGTGACCGCCCCCCGCTCCCCCTGCTTTTGGCACATGACAGCGAAAAGGTTAGCCATCACTGACCCAGTCTTAACTTGCACATTCCTTTTATTATGGGTAAATTAAACCAGACTTTTGTTTAAAAGTGAAATCATTCCCTTATAATATTTCTCCACTGTTATTGCAACATGCTGTGCATCAAACAGGAGCCCCCAAACCACCTGTTAGATTCTTATTTTATGCATCTCTCCAAACTGCAAGGAGGGTACAGAGACAGCCTTTTAAAAGAAGATAACAATTAAAAAAACAGAAATTCTGTTTCACAGTCAGTATTATGTCAAAGCAGCATTTCTTTTTTGCCCCAAACGGAATAGAAAACGAATTGTGACACATTCTGTCTCCCTGAGACTTCCTTCCTTTTTTCTCTTTCTTCCTTCTTTCTTTCTTTCCTTCTTTCTTTCCTTCTTTCTTTCTTTACTTCTTTCCTTCTTTTCCTTCCTTCCTTTTCTCTTCCTTTCTTTCTTTCCTTCTTTCTTTCCTTCCTTCTTTTTTCTTCCTTTCTTTCTGTCCTTCTTTCTTTCCTTCCTTCTTTCCTTCCTCCTTCCTTCCTTC